GTGGCTTAAAGTTTCAAAAAACATGGCAAACAAATCACATGTTTTCAAACGAAACTGGGTGTTCGCATGCTCCCTTGCTTGAGGATGGTTCTGCAAGCAGCAGAGATTTGGAAGTCATGAAAAAAAACACATGAGATACACCAAATTAAAGATGTTGTAGACAGACTCATAATTCAAAAGACATCAAATAAAATCCATGCTTAGCCAAACAAAAAAAATGAGCTCAGAAATCACTAATACCCACTAACCCTTGAAATACGGTCGGGTGAAGGAATACCAATCAAACCAGTCATATTATCCAATTGGTGCATCACGTTCTTCCCAGGAAACAATGGCCACGCGAGCATGTATGCAARATCATATGCTTCATATATCAATGGCATGAGTACATTATAACAAAGAAAGAGCAAAAAACATAATGTCATATTGTGATGTTAATTAATAAGCAAAGCAGGTAAATTGCACACAAATTAAATAAAGACTTGGATTGCACTTTGGAGAAGAAAGAGCCAGTGCACGTACCATCTTGCTCTACAAATAATCAAAAAATTTGTACACAAAACTTTAGTCTATGAATTGTAACGTATAAAAACAAAAATAGAAATCAATCATCCAATGATAATTTCAACATGGCTTGATTTCTGAAAATAACACACCTCGGAGACTCAAAATAAGGAGACAGAGGGATATAGAACTATACAAAAAAAAGAGAGAGAAGAATTTGATATGAACTTGTTTAATCGAATAAAAAATTTCACTCGGAGATCTGGAAGAATAAGAAAAATCATCCTTATAGCTTATTTGTGGGATTACAATATTTCTGTCGGAAGTAATAATTTACTAAGGATACTTTTGATTTGCAACTAACAACAATCATAGAGGTGATTCATTATGTTGGTTATATATTGCGATCAAGTCAGGAACTATGAATTAAAACAAACAGTACCTCCACTAATTGAGATTCATCATCTCAATCTAGGGTTTATCGTTTCATTCATCTCTTGCTCTTCCAATCTATCCAACTCTGATTGCTCTTTCTCTCTCTATGCTTCAAAGACCAGTCACTATTTTTTATCTTTCCCGCCACCAAGCTTTGCTATAAAGCTCTTTAACCTATTTTCTCCAATAGATTTAACAAACAATAAATCAGAACTTCATTACGCACATAAATATAGATTCAAGAAAAAAGAAGAGACAAAAAAAAGACGCAAGAGGAGAGAGCATAGTAAATCAAAATTGGAAAACAAAAAAAAACGAAACTATGAAAGAACACCAAAAACGAAAAAGTGATGCAACAGAATTGAAATTTGGAGCTGTAGGTATGATATTTATATAATATTATAGGTATAGTAGCTAYGGTTTTATTGAKRYACAATCAAAATCTYGGRTTAACACAATATTTCGATAGGCTTAGTATAATTAAAATCCAATAAAAAAATTTCGGCCCAAGCTAACATCAATGGCATATCAACGTAATTGAACTAAGATTTTAGGGTATAAGGTTAATTTCAAGTCTGAAATTGATTCTCATGAGGACACGTATGATCTGTGATTTCATATTTATAAGTATCGATTTATGAGATTTCATCAAACACATCTTTTTATCCTTCAGTGAAATTGAGTTTTAGATTCGAACATCATTTGATTATGCAAGAATATGACAAATAACAAACTAAATCAACCATTACATAAATCAGTCAAATTTCACTTTTCTTACTTAATCGTTATTTCATGTTATTCTACGATTTTCTTATTCTTCATTTTCAATATATAGTTTCATCATTCCTTTATATCTATCGAGGCCATAACACCAGTAAAGATGAATGCTACATATACTGCATCGCTATTACGCATGTGTTAACATTTATCTTTAGCATATTAGCTAATTTATTCTATAGGGTTGAAGAGTTAAAAAAAACAATTGTGAATGGAACAAAAAGAAATCAAAGGTCGAAGAAATCTGAAGGAATAAAAAAAAAAGGCATATACTGCATTGCTATGCATATTAGAGCACTCCATCGGAGGTTGTAAGAGCATCTCCAATGGTACACCAAATCCTACACCAAACTTATTTTTTGGTGTAAAACATTCTCCAACCCAACACTATTTTCAGTACCAAAATTGTGTAAACTCATTTTTTACACCAAATTTGGTGTAGAAAATGGGTTTACACCATTTTAGTGTTAAACTTTTTTTATTTATAAAAAGGTCTTTCAAATTTTAATCAACTTTAAAATTAATAAAAACATATACAAATTGTGATATTTAAACCCAAAATCTAATATGTTTGATAATAATTAAACAAAAGCTTAATATATTTTGTTATTTTATATGTTACAATGTATGTC